CCGGCCAGCCCAGAAGGCCGCGCCAGGGACGGCCGCGCCAGCCAGCCGGCCAGCACCAGCATGGGCGGCAGGGCCCGTTTGCTGTCGCTGCTGCCGCTGCTGCTGCTGCCGCTGGTCCCGCGGGGCTCGGCGGAGCCGGTGCAGAGCGAGGCGGAGGCCGAGGTGGGTGCGGGTCGGGGGGCGGTGTGGGCGCCGACTCGGCGGCGCTTGGAGCGGCTTTCGTGCCCGCCGCACCTGCCGCTGCCCTGGGCGGCCCCGGGCGCAACTCTCGCTGCCTTGCAGGCCTGGCTGCGCTCCTACGGCTACCTGCCCGCCGCCCCCCGGCAGCCCTCCACCCTGCGCGCCGCCCGGAGCCTGGCGACCGCCCTGGCCGAGATGCAGGCCTTCTACGGCATCCCGGTGACCGGCCTGCTGGACCAGGAGACGCGAGCGTGAGTGCCGGCCCCGCGCCGCCTTCTCCGGCTGGGTGGGTGGGTGGGAGTCCCGGCACCGCCCGCCGAGCCAGCCGGCCGGGGCTTCGGAAGCGCGGAAAGGCCGGGGTGGAGGCGGCACCCGGCGTGGGGGAAGCCGCGCAGCCTCCGCCACCTTCGTGCCGCTCGATCCCCAAAGCCTCCCCGGGATGGGGCGGCAGGTGGCCCGAAGGCCCCGCTCGGAAGCCCCCTCAGGACGGCTGGAAGTCGGGCTCAACCCGAAGGGGGGACGCTGCTCTCCTGCCTTCCCGTCGGAGCGGCTGAAAAGCGGTCTAAGAGGCGGAAGGAGGCCGGCAGGCAGGGCGGCTTCTGGACTCTGCCCTTCCCCGCGGAGATTCCCCCGAAGAGCCCGTGGGCTCCGCTGCCCCCTCACGCTTGACCCAGTCGGGGCCTCCAGGCACCTGCTGCCCTCTGGTTCCTCCCAGGCTGCTTTGTGGCGCCCCCAGCAGCAAGAGAAGAGCTGCCCAGCGCCCCCAAGCAACGCCATCCAGCCCGCAGCAGCCCAGCCCCCCCCCCCTGCCCTTCCGTGGGATTTGCCAGAGGAGTTTGGAGGACCCAGGATCTCCCTCAAGGGAATCCTTTTTTGGGGAGGGGGGGCGAAAGAAGCACCTGCTGTAAAAGGTCGAAAGGAAGAGGGGGCCCTCCCTGAAGCAAGGCTCCTTCCTGGGATATCTGATCATTTGACAAAGCAGGCAGGGGCACAACAGCAAATCTCGCCTGGCAGCTGGAGTCAAGGGAGCCAGACAACTCTGGAATTCGTACCAGGTGTTCACTTCCTTGCCCCAGTTGTGAGCGGAAGGATTTGGCTCTGGTGCACCAGTGTAGATGGCTGGTTGGTAGAGAAGGAAGGTAGCTTTACTGTCCCAAAGATGTCACTGCGCCCTTTGCATGCTTCGTGCTCATCCTTTTCTCTCCTTACTCTGCTCTCTCCATCTCCTTCCTTATTTGGAAAGTAGACAATTGGCAGAAGCTTTAGGGGATGGGAAGCAACAAGTTGCCTCTGCACCTGACATACAACGGGACCATCGTCATCTTGAAGGCTGCAGCCCGGATCCTGGCTAAAAGGCCCATGTCAGACACTTCAGATAACTCTTTTTTTTGAGGCTTCTTCATAATTTTAAGGTTTTGAACTCACAATGGTTAGAGATCATCACACACTCCCTCTTATCTTAGACCCAATAGACCATCTTTAAAGGACATGCATAGTCAGAAAATTGGACTTGAAAGGGGCTTACAATTTGATCAAAATGAAAAAGGAACACGAATATTCAATTACCTATCATATTTATCAAATATGAATATTCAGTAATAGCAATAGCACTTAAGACATACACCACTTCACAGGGCTTTCCAGCCCTCTCTAAGGGGTTTACAGAGTCAGCCTATTGCTCCCAACAATCTGGGTCCTCATTTTACCCACCTTGGAAGGATGGAAGGCTGAGTCAATCTTGAGCCTGATGAGATTTGAACTGCCAAATTGCAGGCAGCTGGCAGTCAGCAGAAGTAGCCTGCACTACTGCATTCTAATCACTGTGCCACCAGGACTCGTAATGCCTTATAGTTTGGTTAAGGTCTCCAGTTTTGTTGCAGATTTATCAAAATATTTTCTGGTTTTTTGGACAAATAACTAATGATACAATTGGAGGACAGGCTCATTTTTTTCAGAAATCTTGTCTTTGTACAAGTCTCAAAAGGTTTTGAGAAACCTTGCAGACACAAACTTTTTACAACGGGAAAACTGCAGTTGATGTTCCCCAGTTGGACTGTGGGTTACCAGATCTCTACAAAAGGGCTATAAAAGTGTACTCTGTGTTCTCATGGCAGACATCTAGAAATAGGACAGGTGTTTTCTGAACTTTGCAAATTATTATGGAAACTGCAACATCTCTGTCAAAACTCCTAAACAGAGGACCTGGTCCAGCCAAGAAGAAGCAGGATTACAAGATTTGAAAATCTTTTTCTGTCCCTGTTCAGACAGTGAGATTGCTCTTGTCCCTCTGTGAGGCTACCAGATGTGTCTAGACCGAGTGTGAAGCATTGTTCTCTGTCAGAGGTGCTCCATTCTGTTGACTTTTCCCAGCTGAATGGAACGAGGAGATTTTCCTTCAAGTGCAGCTTGCAATCAAGGAAATTTTCCCGCCTTTCCTCAAGGGAGCAACCCCTCCAGGGTACTTTGGACCTGCAGAGATTACAAGATTAGGCTGTTGGTTTGAGCTCCGAGCTTGGAAATTTGGTTGCAGGTGTTTGGTCACCATTTGAGGAGACGAACTTCTCTGGCAAATCCCAAAAGTGGGGAATGGCTGGACTGCCACCGGCTCTATAATGACCATAATGACCAAGGGCAGGCCCAGAGGAATGAGGGAGGTCAAATGTGAGCCTCGGGTTGCTTTTCTTCTGCATTCCTTCAGCTCTTCTGTTACTTTCTAGAAATGTCAGCATGCTTGAAAGTCCAGGGAGGAAGATCTTCTGATTTGCCTTCGTGCTGCTTGTCTTCCCTTCCCTGATTATTGTAACCGGCAGGTGGATGAAGCGTCCCCGCTGTGGCGTCCCTGATAAAATTGGGGCTCAGGTCAAAGCCAACATGCGGCGGAAGCGATACGCACTGACTGGGCGGAAGTGGAACCAGGCGCACCTGACTTTCAGGTATGTCCAGCTGTTGAGTCCTGAAGTGGAGCTACTGGGAGGCAGGGGCTGCTGTAGACCCCCCCCCCAGTTGCAGCCCTTTAAATGCCGTGTGAAAAGAGGTTCACCTACATTTGCTCCATGCCAGGATCGGATGGTTGCAAGGCTCAGGTGAGTCTGCCAAAGAGGAGGGGAAGAAGGGCTGGAGGCAGGGAGGAGGTTCATGGAGACGAGCTAAGCATTCACTTCAGAAGGCCAATTCCTGGTTGGGGGTCACTGCTTGAAAATTTCCAAGACCAGCAGGAACATTTCCTTGTTTCCAGGAGAACAAAGTAAGGCCTTTAAAGATTAGGAATCTCATCTTAGTCTACAGATTTATTCTTGCATTTTGAATTTGAATTGTCCGAGGTACACCTGAATTGTGTTGATTGTGCAGTCACAGGTTTGGTCCCTGCTGATTTTCCAGATGCTTGGAATAGCAGCGGTGTCTGGAGTCCCTGGAAGAAACATTCTTCCTATAGATTCTCTTAAGACTCTAAAGGCTGAGCAGATTTTGTGGCCTTCGTGGGAAATGGCCCACCTCATCAGATGGCCCCATATGCCCTGGTCAGAGAGGTGGCAGCTGTGATGTATTAGACCTGTACAAGTTCAGTGGCGGAAAAACCAAGGGACAAAGGTGAGGCCTGTGGATAAAAAGTGGTGATTCAAGACACTCTCCGCTCTCTGCCTTCTCTGGAGCTCAGCACTATCCTCAGCCGCTCTTCTGCCACAGGACTCCTCTTCACCTTTCCTGGAAGCTGCCGTTGTCTGCTGTTCTCTTGCATCTCCCTTTCAGAAAGCTTGGGGGGAGCAAGGGGGGGGGCTTGCAGCCCAGCTACTGAAGCATGGGGAACTGAGAGATGGAGTGGCATTTGCAAAGGGGGGGGGAGGCTCACTGGAGGACTTCCTAACCAAAGGCAGTAATATTTCTCTGGGTTTCCCACCCACACCTGTTCTTTTTTGGCAGCATCCAGAACTATACGGAGAAACTGGGGTTCTTCCATTCCTACGACGCCATTCGCCAGGCTATCCATGTGTGGAACCAAGTGACCCCGCTGGTCTTCCAGGAGATCCCCTACAATGAAATCAGACAGAAGAGGAGAGCAGAGGCAGACATCATGGTGCTCTTCGCCTCAGGGTTCCACGGGGACAGTTCCCCCTTTGACGGCACGGGGGGCTTCCTGGCACATGCCTATTTCCCCGGTCCTGGGATGGGAGGAGATGCTCATTTTGACTTGGATGAGCCCTGGACGCTGGACAAGAGGGACATGTTGGGTAAGGAAGTTGTCCCGGGTAGGAGAAGGTTGGAAGGGGGAGAGAGGGGCCTTGAAGGATCGGGGAAGCCTCCACTGGCAACGGGGATAAGTGGGGATTGAGCCCATTCCAAGAACCTGGTCAGACAACCCCTCCCAATGAGGGAGGGGAGAAGCCCATGCAGACATGCAGAATCCTATTTCTAGGGTTGATGGGAGGAAGAAAAGGGAATGGGAAACTCGGGTGGGACTCAGGCTTCCAAGTGACTCCAACTTATTCAGTCTTAAGAGAACATCTGTCTGCATCCTGGGTTTCTCAATAGATCTCTTCCATCTATCCCAACTGGCTCCTCTTCCTGCCCTGAAGCCAGCTGCTGAGCCAGGTGGTTCTTTGTTCCCCCAGGATGTTTCCCTTCAAGTGCAAAGGGCCCCCTTTAACTGGGCAGGTGTGGGTGGGTGGGGTGCAGAATTTGGAGGCCTTCAGACCCCACAGACTTTGCTGTTACTTGCAGGGAACAATCTCTTCCTGGTGGCCATCCATGAGCTGGGCCATTCCTTAGGCCTGGAGCACTCCAGCAATCCCAGTGCCATCATGGCTCCCTTCTACCAGTGGATGGACACAGACAACTTCAGGTTGCCAGAAGATGACCTTCGGGGCATCCAGCAGCTGTATGGCAAGTGGCAACCGAGTGATATTCTGGGTGTATCTGGGTGTAGGGTTCAGGTTTAAAAAAAAAGAGGGATGCAGGATAAATGTTCAAAGCTGCATGGCAGGTATCTAAAGATGCTACGCGGATGAAGCCAGGTCTCTGCCTGCCTGTTTCCTTCTTCATCTCTTGATCAGCACTAACCAAGTGGAGATGAGGATCTTTGCAACTGTCTTCATGATATTTACCCTTCTATCTCGAGAATTGCCAGGCATCTAGCAGAGGCTGGGAAACGTCCTTGCCTGGTGAGGGGTAAAAATGGGGTCTGCAAGGCAACTGCCAAGCTCTGAGAGCACCAAGGGCTCCACAGGTCAACCCGAGCTCTTCTGTTGGAGGGGGACATGATAGGTCAGGGGGTGAAATATTCACTTTTGGGGGTGGAGAAATGTTCCATTTGAGATTTGGTCTATTTAAAACAGGCCAAGGGCATCCCATGGCAGCCATCCTTCGGCAGCTCTTCTCCCTGGGTATAATTTGGGTACTTTCCTGCTGGAAGGAAGATGAGTTGGCTGTAAAGAAACTTTTATTTCTCTTTGTAGGTAATCTGTGCCTCTTGGGCTACATTAGGCCTTCCTGGCATTCCTTCTAAACCCCCAGAACACTCTTAAGTTTGGGGTGTCCAAATTTGGGAATTTTTAAGACTTGTGGACTTCAACTCCCAGAATTCCCCAGCCAGCCGACTAGGGAATTCTGGGAGTTAAAGTCCACAAGTCTTAAAGTTCCCAAGTTTGGACACCTCTGTCCTAAGCAGCTGGGCTCAAGTACCTGTTTCAGCCTCAGTTTTTCAAAAACATTCAAATCCTGTTTTTTTTTCCTATTATGAGCAATCTTCAAAGGAAACTTTGCAAGCTTGGTCTAGGCATTCAGTGGCCAGGCTGCCTGTGGCCTTTGGAGGGCAAAGTTTGTTATCTTGCATTTTTTATTAAGCATTTCTGAGAAAAGGAGAAAGGAAGGAAAAAAGAAAAAATAGCAGGTAAACGCACACACAAACACACACATATATATATTTCATATACAGTACATCATAGATGTAGGTTAAATTTCTCAATGTTGCATTAATTATGAGTGTAAATAAATGTAAATCATTTTAAAAACTACCAGTCCTTCTTAACCTCCAAGGAATATGTGGATATTGATAGCCATTCTCAACGTAGCATAAACCATAAAGAGGCCAACATTTAAGAGCAAGTGAGCTCCAGCCCAGAGGAAAGCCCCCCTCCCTCCCCCCCAGTGATCTGTGTGCTGGTCTTTCCTTCCCCCCCAGGGACGCCAGGACAGCAGCCCACCAAATCCCTGCCGACTGTGATGCCCCGGAAGCCAGACCGGAAGCCCCCAGACAAGCCAAACCGCCCCCCCCAGCCTGGCCTCCCTGACCATCTGGAGCCCAACATCTGCGATGGCGACTTTGACACAGTGACGGTTCTGCGTGGAGAGATGTTCATCTTCAAGGTGCGGCTCTTTGCGTTGCTTCTCGTGAAGGTTTCGGGGTGGTGACTTCCGTGGTGGGGAATCCTGGCAGTTCTGCCAACCGGGCAGTTTGTCCTGAAATGCAGGTAGCTGGTTCTGGAGGGCTTGCCTGGGCTTCAGCGAGCAGATTGCCCCCTCGGCACTGCAGGGCCAAGTCTCAAGAGCGCAGAGACACTGGCCTTGGCATCTTGTGCAGTGGGCGCTGTTGCTTGCCTGGTTCCTGGCCCCCAATGATGCCATCTCAGATGCCAGCTAAAAAAGGCTGGTCAGGCCTGAGGCCCACCAGCCTGGTCCGCCCCTTTGTCCCTCACGGTCACCCACCAGTTGTCTTGGGTATCTGCAAGGAGAAGGCGTACCCCCCCCCCTCATGTCGTCCGGGGGGCATTCATCCAGCAGTGACTTTGTGATTCTTGACCAATTAAGAACCTGCCCGGCTCCTTTTGAAGGCCAATCAAATCTGTGGCCATCAGCACATCTGCTAGTAATGAATTCTCCAGAACTGCTTCAGCTGAAAAATGGTTGAGATCGCTGGGATGAAGAGATGCTCCGTGGGGCCCTGCTTTTCCCTGCAGGAAGGCCCCGATCCAGGGCACCTCCTTGGCCGAGAGCCCCCGGTCAGGGGGATCCCTGGCCCTGTGTCCCTTGGGGGGGGGAGTGTCACCATAGCTCTGTCCCCCCTTACTTTTTTTTCCTCTCTGGCAAAAAGGTTGGAAAGGATTTCTGCCACAATAGGAAAACAAATTGCTCCCTTGGGATTTCACTCCTTCTGCGGGGTTTCCTGCTTTGCATTTTGAGTGACTCCAGAGTCTTTGGCCCTTTGTCTGCTCACCAGGGTGGGGGTGGATGGAGCCACTGGTTCTGGAGGAGGGCAGCCCTGCTCGGATTGCACTGCTGGAGGGGAAAAGTGGCCCCCTCGCCGCTGTTTGGGCTGAGCAGGAGGCAGAAAGAGGGATGGGCTTTGCTGCCTCCAGGATTACATTCTCCTTTGTTTTTGTTTTTAATTTTAAGAATTCTCGTACCTTGATGCATCTCAAGACCTCTTTCTCCTCTGGATGCACAACTGTGTCCTTTTCAAGCCAGTGGTCACTTGCTTTTTTCAGGGCCGCTGGTTTTGGCGGGTCCGGCATAACCGGGTGCTGGACAACTACCCCATGCCCATCGGGTACTTTTGGAGGGGACTTCCTGGGAACATCGACGCCGCCTACGAGAGGCAAGATGGACGGTTTGCCTTCTTTAAAGGTGAGGGGCTGCAGCCGTGGGCAGGAGGGGAAAGCAGAGCTTTGGCCGGGCCTGGTCACAAACAAGGGCATTGATCAGACGGTCCCTCTGGGGCCAGATAGCGCAAGGGCCACGCCTTGTTCATGGGTGCCAGACGGTCTCCTGCCTTCAGTGGTCCTTGGCGGTGGCTTTGGCTGTGTCCTCAGTCGTGGCCCTTCTGGCTGCCCAGCCACCCTCCATGCTAAACTCCTTTGGAGGAGACAAAGCTTGCAGGGCCACACCTGAGTCAGGTGGAAGTCCCAATGCACCTGGGTGGTGCCTGGGAGCTGGCAGGCCAGAGACAATCCAGGAACATCCGCCAGTCTCTGCCTCCGGGACAGAAAGGCAACCAGAATGAGCCTGAAATCCTAATACAAGGCAACAGGTTCCCTTTGCTAACTGGGGTTGGGACTTGGTGGGTGACACATATTCTTAAAGTGAATAGAAAATGGGAGGAAGAGCAAGGCATGTAAACATCCATCAGCCCCAAAGAAACAGGTTTGGGGTGAGGATAGAGGAGAGGAACAGAACCTTGAATATCCCCCCCCCCCCAAGTTTTTCTATTTTTTACATATCAGTGTGTGAACAGTGTGGTATCTACGTATTATACATTTAATACAAAAAAAGTCAGTATAATTCATATTTGTTCCATTTAACAATCTTAAATAATACTAGTAGTAATACACGTCTTATTATTAAATTTTATTTTTTGTTTAATTATTCAATATTTCAATATGCTACTTTTGAACCAATCACCCTATCTTAATTATCATATCTTTTGATGTGAATAAAATATTATCAATCATATTTGTTACATTTAACAGACAAATAACTAATATTAATACCAACATTTATCTTACTTTAAGATCTTCCATTCTTGCTTATTCAACTTGATTTGATTGTTCAATATTTCAGTATATTGTTTTTATATCAATCACCATATTCTACATAATGCCAATTTTATATTATTACATTTAGCATACATACTGTATGTATATTCATATTGAATTATCATTTTTCATTTTTGTTTAGTCAGTAATTCTATGTATTTTTTTAATGCCAGTCCCCATTTCATTTAAATACATGTTTTAATACTCATTCATAAAATATTATCCATCATATTTATTACATTTAATAAACATTTCTAAATTAAGATATTTCATTATTTCTTTATTCAACTTATAATACTTCATTTTTTAATTATTCAGTAGTTCAGTATGTTATTTTCATATCAATCTTCATCTTCTGCATATCATACATTTTAATACAAATAACATATTGTTAATCATATTTATTACATTTAACACACCTACCAATGTTCATATTGAATTATAATTTAGTAATTCTAATTTCCCCTTATTATTGCTTCTCCTTATAATGTAAAAATGTGTATTTTATTAATCCCCATCCCTCTGATTTTTTTTCTATTTTATTATGCCACTACTATATTAAACATATTCCCTATTCTAATCATCATCTCTAACCTGTCTTAAGGCTTTGATTATTCTTTTCTTAGCTTGTCTCTCATATTCAATTCTTGAATCTTTATTTCCTCCTTTTTCTATCCTTTTCCATTGTCTAGTTTCCAAAATATCTGCTCTTGCCCCTATCTTTCTCCCATAAAAACCTTCCTGTTTCCCTTTTTTTTTAAAAAATTCTTAGAGCACTCTCCCTTTGTCTTATGTCATCAATCCCTATTTTTTATTATTATGATCTCCCCACCCCCACCCCGACCCCGTTCCATTTGTTTTGTCTGTTTCCTTTTTCTGTCCCCTCCCCAGTTGGTTCCTCCTCTTCCTGGGCGTCTTTTGTATTATATTTCCCAGCATTTCATCCATGGTCTCCATTTTTTCCCATGATTTTCTGGAAACCTTGAATATTTTATCCTTCTCTCATAAATTTGATTCCAGGAAATCGGAGAAAAGAAAATGGGATTTTCTGATATGAAATGGATTGGTGGGGGGGAGGGGGGTGGTCAGGTTGCAGCTGATTCGGAAGGGACCCAGCAGCCCAAAGGTTGTGGCTGCCTGTGCCTGGATCAAGCCGAACCTCCCTGCCCTGGGAGGAGACTGGTTGCCTCTGGATCCCTCTCTAGATGCCACCCGCTTGAAGAAGGGCGTGGGCAGCCCAGAGGGCATCAGCTGGAAACCAGGATGCCGAAGGGATCATTACGTTTAGCCTGGGGAAGAGAAGATTTTGAAGGGGGTACTGCAATAATATTTCTATTATTGAATAAAATTATTATTTGAATTATTGAATAGAATATTATTTCTACTGCAATAATATTTCTATTCCTACTGATATTAGCGGCCTTCAGAGGGAGCAGAGCAGCCCTCGGTTCCTCCAGAGGACTAGGAGGCTGGGCTGTCCGGGCAGCCAGTTGGGGCTTCACGTTAGAGGGGCTTCTTTGGGGGAGGGGAACTTGGCCAGGGCTGAGACCACAGGAGGCATTTCAGCTGCCACCATCACTCTGGGGTTCTCTTTCGCATTGCGGATGCGGTGGGTGCATAGTTCCTGGGAGTGGAGGGGGGGTGGGCAGATGCCCCCTCTTGGGCTGGCCTGATTTCCCTGCCTGTCCTTCCTTCAGGCAGTCAGTACTGGCTCTTCCGAGAGGCAAACCTGGAAGCCGGCTACCCGCAGCCCCTGAGCAGCTATGGGCTGGGCCTTCCTCACGACAGAGTGGATGCTGCGGTGTGGTGGGAGCCCACGGGACACACCTTCTTCTTCCGAGGAGACAGGTGGGTCATGGGTGGCGCAGCGGCCCCCTCTTCCTCAGGTGGGCTCCCTTCATGGCGGGCTCTTTCCTTTGCAGGTACTGGCGCTTTGACGAGGACGGGAGCTCTGTGGGCCATGGCTATCCAAGGAAGCTCAGCATCTGGGCGGGGGTCCCTGCTGCCCCCAGGGGTGCCTTCCTCAGCCCCGATGCCGGTAAGTAGAACAAGCCGGCCTGGGAAATGTCGGGGGGAGGGGTGCAAATGACTGCAGATGGGAAGGTCACCCTGGGCCAGATGGGGGCTGGGGGGGGGGGAGCAGCTTGTCCGGAGTGGGAGGCTGGGCAAGGGAGAAACTCCCGAGGGACACATGAAGCGTTGTCAAAGAATTGGAGGTAATTGGTGCAACATCAATTCGTTCTCGAAAAAATGAGTGTTTGCTTAATGGCTGCCCTGCATAAATTAGGCTCAGCTCTATTAGGACTCTCGTCCATTTGGACTGGTTTCAGCCACCTGACCTCCTTCCGATCTTTGGGACGGCAGTTCCAGGGCCTGTGAGTGAATTGCATTCATGCCCATGTCCAGGACCCTTCAGCCAGAGAAAAGTAGCCCTGTTTAATAGCAGTCAGGTGTCACATATTGGCCCAATGCAGGCAGTGGTCCTTCTGTCTTAGCTGGACCTTGGTGAACAAGCCAATGGAGGCTTCAGCCCTGGCACCTCTGCTTTCCTCCCTGTCCTGCCCCTCTGCTCCCCCTCCCCCGCTGCCCTTCCTCTCAAGGGCAAAGGTGCTGCTGAAGCCGCTGGGAGATCAGCCCTTCCAGAAGCCGGGCTGGACCTGAACAGCCATGCTTTCAAAATACATTCAGCCTGGGGGAGCTGTGCACCCCACTGAGCCCCAAGAACCCTGCAGCTGCAGTGGGGGGGTGGGAGGGGCTTGGTGGCCTTCTGACCCATTGCCCTCCCTCCTGCTGTCTTCCAGCTTACACATATTTCTATAAGGGCAGGTTGTACTGGAAGTTTGACAACGAGCGGCTGAAAACGGAGCCCGGCTACCCCAAGTCCATCCTGCGGGACTTCATGGGCTGCCAGGAGGAGGTGCCTGTGGAGCCGGACCCCGGCCATCGCTGGCCTGACACGGGAAGGCCCCCTTTCCAGCCCCGGCAGGACAAGGAAACGGAGGAAGCCGCTGCAGCCCCCCACCCTGGCCCAGAGGAAGAGGAGGAATCTGCCGTGGAGAAGGAGAGTGGGGGGCAGGGGGGAGGGGACGTGGACATTGTGGTGCACATCAACGATTACCCGCTGACGGTGAGCATCGTCATGGCGGTGGTGCTGCTCTTTCTGCTGCTCTGCGTCCTGGGCCTGGTCTATGTCATCGTGCAGCTGCAGCGGAAGGGCCAGCCCCGCATGCTGCTCTACTGCAAGCGGTCCTTGCAGGAGTGGGTCTGAAGCCGGAGAGCTGCTGTGGGGCAGGGGCAGGAAAAGGCTCCTCTCCTTCTGCACCCTCCTGGTGACACGGCTGCCTGGCTGGGGGGCACCCTGGGGCTTGCACAGACTCTGACCCGTGGCAGGGAAGGTTCAGGGCCCCCGTATGGGGCTGCAGCCCAGTGCTGATGCTGAAGGCTGAGCCACTTCTGGCCGGAGGGATTGTTGGGTCAAGCAAGGAGAAGAGAGGCACCCGGCCAAGCGTAGCTTTTTCCTAAGTTGCTGTTGGAGATGAATCCTGTAGCTCCGAGATCCTCCATCCATGGGGATCCAGGGGCTGGCTTCACTGTTTGGGATCCGTAGATCTTCTGCATGTGCTCCAGAGACACGTTTGGATTTGCTGGAGGCAGGGAGACCCCCTCGTGCATTTGCAGCAGCTGGTCTTGGCCAGCAGTGGGCATCGTCAGTGGCTGGTTGGCCAAAGGTGGAGGGAGGGGCTGACATCCTGAAAACCTTGATGTATTTTTGTACATTCTTTTTTCCAGAGCCTCTTTGGTTACAAAGCTAAGCGTGGTATTTCTTTCTACTGCAATAATATTTCTATTCCTACTGATATTTACTTCTGCTTGAACCCCCTGGAGGTTCAAGGCTCAGGCTGAAGAGAGGCTTCGGCCAAGGTCCGATTGGGTGACCACTGACCACCCAGCTCTAGGCCCCCTTTCTGCTTTCCCCTGGTCTCCCTGCTCCGTGGTTCTCTGGAGTTGCTCCTTGGTCTGCCCCAGGCCAGGCCCACTGCTGGCTTCTTCACTCTGACTTGTACCCTTGGGAGGTGCCAGATGCAGCTCTCCATGAGGAGGGGTCTTTGGGTCCATCCTGAGGGCAGCCATCCAGCAAACCAGGAAGAGGGGAGGGTGAGAGAAAAAGGATCCTTTTCCTGGATCTGTTAGCCTTCAATCCCTGTTCAGGGACTTGAATGGCCACCGAATCCACTTGAAGCAAGGAAACACTGACCACCCTTCTTTGGGGGAGGGGAGGAGGTCCCTGGACAGCGGCAGATGGAAGGAACTGCCTGCCCAGCATATTCTACATGGGGGGAGGGGCCTGATGGGCTTCCTGTCAAATATGAGACCTTTGTGGGCGCAGGTCAGCCAGGTTGCAGCTGCCGAAAGAATTTCTGAGCCCCACCCAGACTTCCTCCGGCTGTGTTGCATTTCTCTGCCCATCTGGCCATCCACACACAAGCCACCCCTTGCCTGCCTCCTGTGCCCGCTTACGGCTGGTCTTTAGGGAGGAGGCCAGGCTGCCTTGGCTGCCCTGACAAGCCATGCCCGGCTGTTTCCCCCCTCCCTCCCTCCCTTTCTTCTGCCGCCCAACATCCCCAGGAGCCTCCTGTTAAAGGCCAAGGGCCTCTCACAGCCTCTTCCCCCACCCTCTCTGAGGGCTGCCAATTGATCTGCTGCGGTTGGTGTTTGACGCATTAGGGAGAGCAGCCAGGTTGAGGAGAAGCATTTTCTGTGCACTGAATCCGGCAGCTTGTCTGCTGATTGGGGAGGCTGGAAGAACCGATCCATGTAACACGCATAGACACGCAAAAACATGCAAATGGTCATCATCCACAGGCTGTCAATAAAAGTCATTTCTGCTGATGCTTTGTGTAAGCTACTTTTTCTTCTGCACCTCCTGGAGCTGCAGAGAAGAGAAGAGAAGCTCCTTCCCTCAGAGGGGGAGCTGAGGACCAGTCCAGCCTTCCCTCTGTGGTCCTCGGAGGCCTTTTGAGCCAGCTGGGCATGAAGGGGCCGGTGAGGACAGCTTGGCAGCCCTTCAGGGCCCACCTGGAGAACTGGGGCAGGCCAACCACTCCAACAACCCTCACTTGGGTCCCTTGCTTTCCCCCGCTGCCTAGGAAAGTCTGGAAGTGATGGGGAGGTGTGGCCCTATCAGTCCTGGCAGCCTTTTCCCAGGACACCCCCCCAAGACAGGCAGGACCCCCACACACACACTCAGTTTAGGGGACTTGAGCGTGGTCTCTGGAGAACAGACCGCGTCAGGGCGGCTGCTTTTTCTCCCTCCTGCCAGGAACGGGCAGGCTCTCTGACTGCTGGCCAGATGTGCCAACCCGAGTCCTGGGGGCTCCCCCTCGCCTGCCCAAGAGCCGAGGGAGTTTCTCGATGCCTCATTCTTGGGCAGCCAGCCTCATTTACCCATTTGGTGGTTGGAAGGCTTGGGGGCTTTTAGTCTCTTGTGAGCTGCTGCTGCTGAAGGGCACCAAGTGCCAGCCGGGGGAGTTTGCAACCTGCACCATCCAGGCTGTAAATTCCCTTACTTGGGTTTGATGAGGATACTTAACTTAGTTACTGAATTCAATCCCATTCTGTCAAATGAAGTAAATGGCCTCCTTGGCTCACACAGCTGGCCAGATGCACCAATGCAGCTCTTAAGGTTTCAACCCACTTGGAAAGAAGGTGGGACCCACGTGGCTCCCCATATGGATTCTGACATGGAGGTCATTAACTCTTCGGTCACTTGTAGATAGCAAGATACGCTTGCAATTTGTACAGGACTGGAATTCTCTGGGAAGGATTCTTCTCCCGGAAGGAACTGGAGCCCCGGCTGACCATGGCCCTGTCCCGGAGGAAGGAGGGGAGGCAGCTGCTGAGGGCCCAGTTCCAGGATGCACTGCCCAGACACACACACACACACACACCACTGCAGTGTTGGTTGCCACAGCAGAAGGAAGCTTCTGAGGGAGTGGCAAGAGGGCTGAGGTCAACCAGAAGTTCAGCCTGAGGGGAGGCAGAGGGGAGAGGAGATGGTCAAGTGTGCATTTCATGACAGACTTTGAATATCTGAGAGGCACAGAAGAGGGAGAGAAATTACTCTCTTTTGCTCTGTTAGGTCCCTGTGGACATGAACCCACAAAAAAGCCGGTTCTTGACATTTGTTAATTGTGTTGTTGTGAGGTGGTGTAAAATGAGACAATTTCCTATTGTGGAACACAGGCTCTGCTCTGAATCCGGCGTTTTCCTCCACTAAGATTTCTTTCCATTACCACATTTTTAGATCTCAGTGCTGCTTTTGAGTCTATAAATAGAAACATTCTGTTGATGAAATTGACCAACTTAAATATGGGATCAAGACCCTCTGCCCAAGGCCCATTTGAAACTCTGCCCAGCTGTAAATGGCTCTCTAAGGAACAGTCGATCCCCTCATAACCGTCTCAGGCAGGGCTTTTTAATTTCTGTATCAATTATTTACCAGGATTCCTGTATGCTGCAGACACTCGTATGCCAAAAATCTATGATACATTTATTAATACCCTTTTATATGCCAGTGTCATACTTGCAATGGCCCATTTCCAAATAGGCTTGGGAAGACTACTGCAGGAGCTAAATACCTACTTAATTCTTTAAACATTAACAAAAACAAATTTAAATTGATACTATTTAGCAAAAAGAGAGAGAGAGAGAGAGAGAGAGAGAGAGAGAGAGAAATATAACTGGCAGATAAATGGGGAGCCTATTGAATAAATGAATTTTTTACCTAGTTAGGAGAGGTTTTACCAAAACTGGGTTGCGATTAAATCATTTTAAAAGTAGCTTGGTGAGGGCCGAGGTCACTACCCTGTTTCCCCAAAAAT